CGTGTCTGCTGGTCAATCTCCCATTGTTAGTGTACCTAAAAGTAGTTCAGCTGGTAATGACACTGGCTATGAAGAAAGTGTCCAACCTCAAGCTGCTGCTGTTGCCACACCCTCTTTCCTTACTCAAACCATTGGCTTAGTTACCAGTACCGACCAAGGAAAGTCTTTGTCAAGTTCTGATCAACTTCAAACTTCTGCCATGGGTGTCCATTCTTCTTTGGATCCTGTTGTAGCATCTTCTGTCTCCCGGCATTCTGGTGTCAGTGGTGCAATCAACAGGGAAGTTGGAAGCAACCGGATATCCACTGGACCAAATCATGTTAAAGGAAATAAACTTGTTCAAGAAGTTAGTGATTTATCAGCATCCAAGAATGATAAATCTGGGTCTGTGAGTTCTACAAGCAGAACAAATACCCCACAGAAGTCAAATGAAGTTGAACATAATCGGTTATCTGAGCCCTCACAACTTTCATCTCCATCCCCAAATGATTCATTGAGGCCATCTTCTAGTTCCGGCAGCCAGCCACCTCTAGGTAAAGTTTTCTTTTGTATCTGTTTAATCTTTTGAGTAATAGGGTTGCTTCATGTTATATTTCCTTGTTGAAGTATTCCTTGGTTTTCTGATCAAACAATTCTACCATATGGAGGGCATAAATCAGGGGAAGAACCTTTGAAACTGTTCCTGAAGGCATTTTAAGTTAGAGGCAGGATGACTGAGCCTATAATTTAAATAAGCATGTCACTTTTATGGGTTCTGCTTTTGTGTGCGAACACCCAAATTTTAATTGCTTAGATACTGTTCCATGTTGGAAGGAATCAACCTAACAAAATCAATTTTTTGTATTTTTTTTTACATATACTTTTCAACATATATCTATTTATATCAACTTAGAATGTCTTTTTGTGGGCTCACATATGTTTATGAAACAGCTAATATCACAGAGGTTTCAACTTCAGAAGCTTGTGTGCAATCTTCAGCGGAGTTAAGGCAACATGTTACATTTCCAAACCATTTCCAAGTACCGGAGGCTTTAAAAAGTGGTCTGACATTTGGAAGCTTTGATACCTTTAGCCCAAGTGAAAAATCTAACAGTGGAACTGATGGGGACAATAATGCTTCTCGTGCTCTTGAACCTTCACCAGTGAGTGATGAAGCGGCAACTTCAAGGTTTGTAATTCATATGCTTCTCATGTGCTTTTTCTATGCATATCAAATTACAGATCCCTTTTGTCATCTGTGTGTGCTACACATGCTTGTATTTTCTTTTATGCCCTATATGGCTGGATTATTTTAGCTTTGTGCTCTTATATCAAACTTGTTCACTAGCAAAATAACTATAATCAGCCTGAAAGCTGGTGCTATGGAGATAATATTTCTACCTTTTCCAACTCCCTTTGGCAACCATAAGGCTGGGTTATTATTTATTTCGTGAATTATTTTGGCTGAATTAATTGGTTATTCTTCCTGTTAACAAAGGTATTACTTGTGTCATGGTGTGCTCATGTAATTTTTTTTTTCAATGGTATTTCTTGTCTTGGATGTAGCAACCAAAAAGCATCATTAACTTCACAAGGGGATCGTCTTGATTATCCACATTCTACATCTTATTTGATTGAAAAGACACCAGCTACAGAAGGCAATTCTATAAATGGTGCTGACACAAAGGTTGATCAGCCAAAGAAGGAGCTTTTGTTGGCCCCCGAGGGCCCTCAACTTCCAACTGTTCAAACCCCTCAGAACTACGGTTTGAATTTCATGTCGACCATGTTAGGGACTCAGCAGGTTCAATTTGAGGGAACTGAGCCCCAGGCTCAAGATACATCTCGTTTTTCTAACTTTGTTGTAAGTTTCTTAATATCTTCCACTGCTTAAAACCTTTTCTCCCTATGCTTGGATTTCATGGTGGTCTTTGATGTTTCTCTTGTCTAGAGTCTACCTAGCTATCAGTACAGTTCCCTTTGTAAACTCATGAAAATCAGCTTGGATGCTGTATTTATTGGATAGCACTATGATTCATTATCAGTACAGTATCTATCTTTCTCTTTCTGCATTAAATGTTTTTACCAAATATTGACAACTGTAAACATGAATTTCAACTCCTAACCTATGCATGGTTTCAGTATTGGCCTATGATTTAGAACCTATGTTGGAATGACCTAGTAGTTCACTGTCAATTATACATATGGACTTTTGTGCCATCAGTCAGGACTCAAGGAATTTGAAGTGAAATTACGAGACTGCGCATTATCGATGTCCCAAGAGAAGAAAATAAAAAGAAAATGAAATAGAAGAAGATTAGCTTATAAGTTAATTTATAGGAACTGAAGTCAGATTTTTAACTTATGCACAAGCTAGTTTTATCTTATGAAGAATCTTGTTACGATTTTCCTTATTTTTCTTTTACTAGAAGTGTTTATGAGGAAATTTACCCAAACAGACCCCAAAGAGTTGTGAGAGGCAAGAAAAATACTTTGTTCAAATTATAAAATAAAGTAATGAAAGTAAAGTTTTCCTAGGTTGGCTTATGAAGCTTGTACAGTTTGATAGATAGCTAGTTGATATTGATTGTATTGGAACACTTTACTGCTTATATGGAACCTGATGATCTGGAGTATTGTTTTTACATCCAACATATTATCCCGATGAAAATTAGCATAATTTGATTTTGAATTATGGAAACATAATCTTCTTTGCTATTTTTTAGAGAAGTTTCAGTGAAGGTTTGTCTAGCTTTCTGGCGTGTTTTGTATCTCTGCACACCCCATCTTTTATCCCCCTAATTCTGTGAATACATAGCCCTGCTTAATATCATTGCCAGGAAAAGATATTAAACTTAGTGCATTCTATACTGGAATTTGTTGTTTGCTATTGGTTTTTATCATTAGGAACTTGTATGCCTTTCTAAACACTAGAAATTACGTTTAGTAGGAGTGTAATTGATATGCAGTGTTGAGTAAAGGTTAGGTTTTTGCGCAATCAACCAATTAGAAGTTATCTTTGGTATTGCTTGTGAGATATCATAAAGTTGACAGAATTTACCGCGGGTAACATTTAGTAATTGAATGTCGGGTCAATAAAACTTCACACTGTCAATATGTATGTTGTTTATTCTTTTAATTATGACTTCTCTATTCATGTTGCAGAATGCAAGTTCTCAGGCTGTGTCCCCTAGCCCAACCCCACCCTTACAGAGTTCTATACCTGTGCCTCCACAATCAGTTTCTATTTTCAGGCCACCCTACCCTACTAACTTCTTCCCTTATGGCCACTATTACCCACCAATTTATGTGTCTCCCATACACCAATTTTTAAGCCACAATGGTTTCCCTCAACAGCCATCAGCTGGCAACATGTATCTACCAACAGCTGCTGGCATCAAATTCCCACTCCCCCAGTTCAAGGCAGGAGCAAACACAGGAAATGCAGGTCATATTGGAATTCCTTCTGGGTCATTTATCCCTCCACCTGTAGGTTATGCGCCAGGACANAAACTACATTAACTACAAAAATCACTAGTTTTCAAAATATATCATGACCAACAAAAAAATGTCATTTAGTTTATAGAATTATTAGTATAACATTTAGTTAATTACTTCCCAATATCTAATATCAGTATAAATGAAATTTAATTCAAAAATTATTTGAATATCATTTAATAACACACTTGCATTATATATAAATGTGAAGTTGTGAATTTCAAATGTAAAATATTACATAGTTAATCACAGTGTAGTAATATTACAGCGTGATAAGAAGTTAATATGATAATTTACTACGAATGGTGTCGAAATTGTAACTAATTTAATTTTAAATTATTTTTTCATAATTAAATATGTTAAATATTTCTTTCTTCATTTAATTATTCACTGACATGATATCGACCATGTAATTTTACTTTATTTTAAATATATTCTTATTGAAATTAAATATACTAAATAAAATTTGTAGTTCAATTTAAAATACGTATACGAAAAATTTTAAACTTATTTCCCACTCCTTATTTTTAATTTTTAAACTATAAAAGTTAAATTAGACTTTGAAGACTCATTAATCCTGAGCCAGTTATATGAAGTCTTGATCACTAAATATCTTTTACGTGAAAGTAATTCGAATCTAAAAAGTTTTGTCTGAACAAAAATACCCGAGATATTAATAAACATAAACGATTTAGGAAAAATACTTGTTGAACACCCTTTCTCATTTACCAATAATTAAATCAATGTTAATGATTGATTAATGGTAAATAAATATACAAACATTTTAGCCTTTATCATTTATCAATACTAATTAATTTTATTAAATATCAAATCCCTTATGTTGGAAATGAATTAAACAAAATACACTTTAAGTAGATTTTAAATTAGATGAATTCGATAAAATTAGTTCAGTCAAGACAAACTCTAATTTATAATTTTGAGATTTCATGTCAAAAAATAGATTTTAATTAATATTTTATCTTATAAAATTTGTAATCACGTTTTAATCAATATTTTAGACAACATAATCATCAGGTTTAAATACGAACCTAACAGAAAAGAAAAACCGAAAACTAATAATAAAAAAAGAAAACAGAATTATTATAGTAAAATTTTTACACTTTCCATTATTATACTTTTAAAAGTAAATGAATAATCAATCTTAGAAAAATTAGCCAGCACAAATTTCTTTAATAAAAATTTGGTGAAAAAGTACTAGAATTAGTAAATTAAAATAGAGGTAAAAAAATATTAACAAGTTTTGTCGAAAATATTAATTATTATTATTATTTTGTATGATGTGTGTAAAATAGTTTACTTAGATTTATATCTAATATTACATTTAAATTAAATTGATTGTGTATGGTTGTCTGGGATGGTGTTTTAATAATAATAAAATAATGAAACGGTGTGTGGCAAAGAAAACCCTAGTTATGAAGTTGTGGTAATTATTATTTAAAATTGAAAAAAAAGAGAGTAATAGGTACAGTAATGGAATTGGCGTATATTAATGATTCAAAGTTAATATTGTGTAAGTGTGTGTGTGTGTTTGGGTTGTAATAAAAAAAAGTCTGAGGAACAGAGAGAGTGTCCCTCCTTCCTTCGTTGCTGTGTTACAGACAGAAAGATGAGCGGCGGTGGTGGCTCTTCCACTTTTAGGGTTCCGATCCCAAACAATGTACGAAAAACCATCCAAGACATCCGCGAGATCACCGGCAAGCAGCACACCGACGACGAAATCTACGCCGTCCTCAAAGAATGCTCCATGGATCCCAACGAAACCGCTCAGAAGCTTCTCTATTTAGGTCCCTTTCACTTTTCCCTCTTTTCTTCTCTTCTCGATCCACTCTCTCTCTCTTTCTCCTCTCTCTCTATGTCTTTCGATTCCTACTCTTTCTCTTCATCCACGAATGGAGACACTACTTCCCACTTTTCTGAGCTTCACTTTGAGTTAGCGGTGCTTTCCGAAGTTGAGTTCGACTTTTCACAATTTGTTTTGATTTAACTTGTTTTATTTTGCTGTTTAGCTTTTGTTTGATTTTGTAGGAGTTGAGGGGAGTTGCGTGTGCCTCTTTGGACATTGAAATATTGATTTTTAACTGTTCAATGTTTGGAGCAAGGTTTTTATTTTTTATTTTTTTGTAAACCAGTGCTTCAGGGGGTTAAAAGCTGTCTTTGTAGGGTTTTGTTTTTGCGTTCAATGGTTTCTCTCAGGCTACCGCTCACACGTGTTGCTCAATGAATGGCTTCAGCACTCTATCTACGCATCCTAATCATTTAGGATTTCTTGAAAAGAAATGTGATTTTGGCATCTTTGAGATTCTCTTCTTTTTTTAATGTTGAGTTTTTATTTTTTTGTTCACAGATACTTTTCATGAGGTGCGAAGGAGACGTGACCGAAAGAAGGAGGTAAGATTCCCTCTCCCTCCTTATTCGCCCTGCTTTTTTATTTCAGTTAGTTTATTACTGCCCTTGAAAGTTTAATTGCTGAAACAGATTAGTTTTGTTGTCTCAACTGTTAGGAGCAGACATATACTTCTTCTGCCTTTGAGTTGATCGATTGAAGTGGATGTATCTTTTACCTGTTTATCCAGTAAATTGAAGTATATTAATTATCTTGATTGTTTTGAGCTGCTATGAAATAGTTCTCATTGTGTCATGAGTTGCCATTCTGTCATCTTGTGAGCACTGTGATTGACAGACTCCATGTTGAGATTCTTGTAGGTCGGTTGCTATGGGTTTGAATGTCTGAATAGGTCTGGTTACTCTGGGTCTGTGATTCCTGCCTGTTATGACGTGTGGGATCATGCAATAGTATTATTTGCTAAGTAAAATGACTTTGGTCTTGTTTTTTGATTACGTATATATGTTTCCTTTTATCTATATGTTCTGTAATTTTATATGTCCTGTTATAAGTAAATGTGCTTGTATTGCCCCATGGTTCTCTCTTTAATAATTTTTATTGGCCTGAGTGATTTAAGTTTATTGTTTCAGGGATTGAGCAACAGGGTTTCTGACGAGCCTAGGATAAAGCAAGGTGGACAAGGGAGGGGGGGAAGGGGTGCTTCAGGAGGATATTCCTCTAACTTTCCTGGTACCATCTCCCCACCTTTTTAGTGACTTTTGGGCTTTATCATTAGTTTTGTCTCTTCGATTATGGATATTCTTTTCCACTCATGGATAATTTTTTCAAGATATTAGCACAGTTTCCCTTCCAAAAATAACTTGTTACTGAGATCTTTTTAAGAATATTAAGAATTGTGCTTTTATTTTTGCTGCTTGTTGAGCTCTATCACACCCTTTTTGAACCTAGCAAGGCACTATGAAGTACCTTTTCTACCTTTTCATAGCCATCATTTATATTTTTATGCTGTTGTTTTCTTTTTCCATGAACCTACTTTAGTGCGGAGACATCTCCTATGAACCTGCAAATTTCTTGCTAGTTTATTAGTTTGTCAGTTTCACCATCTTGCAAATGTCTGTTGTTAGATGGTGGTGGTGGGAGGAACATAGCTAATCGAAGGGAAAATGGAGTCAATCACATTGCAGAGAGAAGTCACGGTCCCTCTACTCAGCCTGTATCGCAGAAAACTAAGACTACTACCACATCTCAAGTTACAAGGTAGCAATTTTATTTTTGTATTTTCCTTAATTTGGTTTTTTGTCAGATTAATTATAAGTATGAGAAAATTTATGTTGGAAAGAAATTGCATTTATTTGATAAAAACAAGGCAAGACTCTAAAAGAAGTGAAAATAAGACTGATGAATGGCTTCACTTTTATTGTCTTTTTTGGCTAAAATTCTGACCGAACCTCACATTGAAGTCATGCTTAAAATTTTATGTTAAACAAAAAAACATTGTAATAACTTCAATGACCGACCAAGAGAAGAAGTAATGTAATTTTGATTTTAGATAATTAACTTGCAATCAATTTGATAATATCTTAGATTCTACTCTTGGATTGCCAAAATACAATATATCTGAAGTTGTTTGTTGGTGTGATGAGAAATACACCATTGTTAATATTGACATAATTGTTTATTCTTTTTTATCGTTAGATTATCCTCTTTTAAATATTTTTTCTTCAACTGTAGAGTTTCAGCTGTTGCACCTCCTGGTGCTGCAAATCAATCCAATGGGAAGTCTGTTCACGTGTCTGCTGGTCAATCTCCCATTGTTAGTGTACCTAAAAGTAGTTCAGCTGGTAATGACACTGGCTATGAAGAAAGTGTCCAACCTCAAGCTGCTGCTGTTGCCACACCCTCTTTCCTTACTCAAACCATTGGCTTAGTTACCAGTACCGACCAAGGAAAGTCTTTGTCAAGTTCTGATCAACTTCAAACTTCTGCCATGGGTGTCCATTCTTCTTTGGATCCTGTTGTAGCATCTTCTGTCTCCCGGCATTCTGGTGTCAGTGGTGCAATCAACAGGGAAGTTGGAAGCAACCGGATATCCACTGGACCAAATCATGTTAAAGGAAATAAACTTGTTCAAGAAGTTAGTGATTTATCAGCATCCAAGAATGATAAATCTGGGTCTGTGAGTTCTACAAGCAGAACAAATACCCCACAGAAGTCAAATGAAGTTGAACATAATCGGTTATCTGAGCCCTCACAACTTTCATCTCCATCCCCAAATGATTCATTGAGGCCATCTTCTAGTTCCGGCAGCCAGCCACCTCTAGGTAAAGTTTTCTTTTGTATCTGTTTAATCTTTTGAGTAATAGGGTTGCTTCATGTTATATTTCCTTGTTGAAGTATTCCTTGGTTTTCTGATCAAACAATTCTACCATATGGAGGGCATAAATCAGGGGAAGAACCTTTGAAACTGTTCCTGAAGGCATTTTAAGTTAGAGGCAGGATGACTGAGCCTATAATTTAAATAAGCATGTCACTTTTATGGGTTCTGCTTTTGTGTGCGAACACCCAAATTTTAATTGCTTAGATACTGTTCCATGTTGGAAGGAATCAACCTAACAAAATCAATTTTTTGTATTTTTTTTTACATATACTTTTCAACATATATCTATTTATATCAACTTAGAATGTCTTTTTGTGGGCTCACATATGTTTATGAAACAGCTAATATCACAGAGGTTTCAACTTCAGAAGCTTGTGTGCAATCTTCAGCGGAGTTAAGGCAACATGTTACATTTCCAAACCATTTCCAAGTACCGGAGGCTTTAAAAAGTGGTCTGACATTTGGAAGCTTTGATACCTTTAGCCCAAGTGAAAAATCTAACAGTGGAACTGATGGGGACAATAATGCTTCTCGTGCTCTTGAACCTTCACCAGTGAGTGATGAAGCGGCAACTTCAAGGTTTGTAATTCATATGCTTCTCATGTGCTTTTTCTATGCATATCAAATTACAGATCCCTTTTGTCATCTGTGTGTGCTACACATGCTTGTATTTTCTTTTATGCCCTATATGGCTGGATTATTTTAGCTTTGTGCTCTTATATCAAACTTGTTCACTAGCAAAATAACTATAATCAGCCTTAAAGCTGGTGCTATGGAGATAATATTTCTACCTTTTCCAACTCCCTTTGGCAACCATAAGGCTGGGTTATTATTTATTTCGTGAATTATTTTGGCTGAATTAATTGGTTATTCTTCCTGTTAACAAAGGTATTACTTGTGTCATGGTGTGCTCATGTAATTTTTTTTTTCAATGGTATTTCTTGTCTTGGATGTAGCAACCAAAATGCATCATTAACTTCACAAGGGGATCGTCTTGATTATCCACATTCTTCATCTTATTTGATTGAAAAGACACCAGCTACAGAAGGCAATTCTATAAATGGTGCTGACACAAAGGTTGATCAGCCAAAGAAGGAGTTTTTGTTGGCCCCCGAGGTCCCTCAACTTCCAACTGTTCAAACCCCTCATAACTACGGTTTGAATTTCATGTCTACCATGTTAGGGACTCAGCAGGTTCAATTTGAGGGAACTGAGCCCCAGGCTCAAGATACATCTCGTTTTTCTAACTTTGTTGTAAGTTTCTTAATATCTTCCACTGCTTAAAACCTTTTCTCCCTATGCTTGGATTTCATGGTGGTCTTTGATGTTTCTCTTGTCTAGAGTCTACCTAGCTATCAGTACAGTTCCCTTTGTAAACTCATGAAAATCAGCTTGGATGCTGTATTTATTGGATAGCACTATGATTCATTATCAGTACAGTATCTATCTTTCTCTTTCTGCATTAAATGTTTTTACCAAATATTGACAACTGTAAACATGAATTTCAACTCCTAACCTATGCATGGTTTCAGTATTGGCCTATGATTTAGAACCTATGTTGGAATGACCTAGTAGTTCACTGTCAATTATACATATGGACTTTTGTGCCATCAGTCAGGACTCAAGGAATTTGAAGTGAAATTACGAGACTGCGCATTATCGATGTCCCAAGAGAAGAAAATAAAAAGAAAATGAAATAGAAGAAGATTAGCTTATAAGTTAATTTATAGGAACTGAAGTCAGATTTTTAACTTATGCACAAGCTAGTTTTATCTTATGAAGAATCTTGTTACGATTTTCCTTATTTTTCTTTTACTAGAAGTGTTTATGAGGAAATTTACCCAAACAGACCCCAAAGAGTTGTGAGAGGCAAGAAAAATACTTTGTTCAAATTATAAAATAAAGTAATGAAAGTAAAGTTTTCCTAGGTTGGCTTATGAAGCTTGTACAGTTTGATAGATAGCTAGTTGATATTGATTGTATTGGAACACTTTACTGCTTATATGGAACCTGATGATCTGGAGTATTGTTTTTACATCCAACATATTATCCCGATGAAAATTAGCATAATTTGATTTTGAATTATGGAAACATAATCTTCTTTGCTATTTTTTAGAGAAGTTTCAGTGAAGGTTTGTCTAGCTTTCTGGCGTGTTTTGTATCTCTGCACACCCCATCTTTTATCCCCCTAATTCTGTGAATACATAGCCCTGCTTAATATCATTGCCAGGAAAAGATATTAAACTTAGTGCATTCTATACTGGAATTTGTTGTTTGCTATTGGTTTTTATCATTAGGAACTTGTATGCCTTTCTAAACACTAGAAATTACGTTTAGTAGGAGTGTAATTGATATGCAGTGTTGAGTAAAGGTTAGGTTTTTGCGCAATCAACCAATTAGAAGTTATCTTTGGTATTGCTTGTGAGATATCATAAAGTTGACAGAATTTACCGCGGGTAACATTTAGTAATTGAATGTCGGGTCAATAAAACTTCACACTGTCAATATGTATGTTGTTTATTCTTTTAATTATGACTTCTCTATTCATGTTGCAGAATGCAAGTTCTCAGGCTGTGTCCCCTAGCCCAACCCCACCCTTACAGAGTTCTATACCTGTGCCTCCACAATCAGTTTCTATTTTCAGGCCACCCTACCCTACTAACTTCTTCCCTTATGGCCACTATTACCCACCAATTTATGTGTCTCCCATACACCAATTTTTAAGCCACAATGGTTTCCCTCAACAGCCATCAGCTGGCAACATGTATCTACCAACAGCTGCTGGCATCAAATTCCCACTCCCCCAGTTCAAGGCAGGAGCAAACACAGGAAATGCAGGTCATATTGGAATTCCTTCTGGGTCATTTATCCCTCCACCTGTAGGTTATGCGCCAGGACAAACAGTTAGTACCGGCAGCTCCACTGGAAATGAAGATCTTGCTGTGTCACAGTTAAAGGAAAACCAGATCTATACAACAGGACAGCTGGTTGGTTTATTTCCTTATTAATGATCTTTTATTTCACCCATGCATATTTCTTGATAAACTAGGAAATTTTGTTCCGTTCTCTGTTCCCTGGCTTTCTACAGTATCTATCTTTTCCATATGTTGGCTTCATCAATGCATGTCCTTTTATTGTGGTCCCATGAAACGAAATTTATGGATTCTCCGTAGTTTCTATCTAGACAATCACATTTATGGTTTTGTTGTGGTCCCATGTCCCTTTATATTTCTTTTGTTGCAGAGTGAAGGCTCTGCAGTGTGGATTCCTGCTCCAGGCCAAGACATATCCAGTTTGCAAGTTAATTCTCTTTATAACCTTACCCCTCAGGGACAACATCTCACCTTCCCCCCAACACAGGCTGCTCATGGAGCATTTGCTGGTATCTATCAAGCAGGACAGGCAGTAGCTTCACCTTCAACCCTTTTGCAACAGTCTCAAGCTGTGGCTGGGCCTGTTGAAACTGTAGGGCCCCCTTCAGGATCTTATCAGCAACCTCAGCCTGCGCAGATTAATTGGAACTCTAATTTTTAGGCTGGTAAACATCTTCTTGGTGCGATAATGTTGATATGCACACTTGATGTGCTCAGATCCAGGGAAGTATGAATGAACACTGGCCTGATCTGAAGTGTAAATAAAAATGCGGCCAAAGAATGAGAAAGGAAATTAGTAACTGTTTTTGGTGGAGATTTGGTACTAACGATTTTGAAGGGTGCTAGTCGCAGGTTT